AATTATTACCCTTCGTCTAGTTCTGTACTCTCTCCAAGCTTTTGGTATTAGTTTGGTTGCTTTGAGCTGTCAGGAGAAAAGAAGTAATTATATACTGATAAAGTTTAATTGTGTAGATAAACCAGTATGATCTCAATACTGTATTGTTTTTTTCACGTTTGTTATTTATTAGTAACAAAATCAATCATTTTTTCCTTCTTCAATCTGGAATAAATAAGCACTCGTAATTTTTTTAAAGACATTCACTCCCTTTACGGTCAATTTTTTTTTGTCTTTGGGATGTTTAAAAATGTAGAAGTTGAAAACGGACTACAGATGAAATAAGTAAACTTTAGATCACTGAGGCTAAAAATTATTACCCTTCGTCCAGTTTGGTAGTCTCTCCAAGCTTGCTGTGTTAATTTGGTTGCTTTGATCTGTTAGGAGAAAAGCAGTACTTATATAGTGATGAAGTTTAATTGTGTAGATAATCCAGGATGATCTCAATTCACGTTTGTCATTTTTTAGTAATAAAATCATTTATTTTTTTTCTTGTCCAATCTGGAATAAATAAGCACTAGTAATTTTTTCAAAGACAAAAAATTCTCTCCCCTTACAGTCAATTTTTTGTGTCTTTGTGATTAAAAATGTAGAAGTTGAACACGGACTACAGATAAAATATGAAAAATACAGAATACTATGGCTAAAAATTATTACCCTCCTCGTTCTTCGATGCTTTCTCCAAGCTTTCTGAATTAATTTGACGGCCTCAATCTGTCAGGAGAAAAGCATTATTTATATACTGATAAGTAATTATATACTGATGATAATTGTGAATCCATTTCCCTGATAAGGCCATGGAGTCGAAAGGGAACAAATAATGTCTTTTAGAAAGAATCTCATCTTGTTGGATCGGATTACAGCTAAAATCGCCGAGAAAGTCTTAAAAATAATGAAACTTGCAGTTAAGATTTAAAAGACGTGACGCCTTTTGAATCTTAACGGCACATTTATTCTGCAAAGTAAATAACAATTTTGATAATGTCACCATAAAATATCAGCGTCTTAAAGTCGTCACGCCATGTTGAACTACATAATAGAGGTCTACTTTATACGAAAAGTCTCTTCTGCAGTCATCCACCTACAACGGTCACCTCCGTACACCGGCTGCCTTCCTAGAAATGACCACCTCCTCTGAAGGGCCACCCCTCTACACAGGACACCTACCCATGAACCGCCTCTTTCTTACAACAGCCACCCCCTCACAATGACACAGCAACTAAAGCGCGTCCCAACTGCAACGAGACTCATCTTTCGTCAAGGGCCAGTTTAGAAAAATATTTGTTGCTGAGAACCCTGTCAGCTTTATATCACTAAAGAGTGGGTGAAATTTTTGCAATACCTAATTAAGGGACGCTATGAAAAATGATTTAACTTCTGTTCCTTGCTGGTTCAGTCACGGTTAGGATGTTTTTCACAAGCATCACTGTTTGTTTGTTTGTTAGTTTGTTTTGTTTTGTTTTGTTTTTTCTAATCTATTTATTTTCATTGTAATTGTAATGAGATGATGTCACCATAAGCACGTTTGAAGAGTTGTAAAGTTGAAGCCCAGTGTACATGGAGTGAAATATCTCACTCTCGATTTGGATTTCCTTTAAAAAAGCGAATTTATTGTAAACCACATGAAAGAAAATTTTTGATGTTAACTTTTGGAACCCCCTTCCCTTTTTATTTTAAAATAATCCCACCATTTTATATAACTGAAATCACTCCATAAAATTAAATGATTGAATTTACCATGTATAACTGTGATCATGCTGTTATTACTATATCAAATTACCTGAAATTCAAGTCTTTTTAACTTTAGTCGACGCCAAGCCCGTTGAATTATGGACGCACATTCATTCTGCAAAGAGAACAAACATTATGATATCAACAGTTAATATGAGCATCTAAAATATCCATGATTATCGCATCAAATTTCCAGTTTCATCATCTTAAGACTTCATATTCTGTTTATGTAGATATCAAAGGTCTATTTTATCTGTAGAACCGCTGCGGCCAATGTTTTGAAAATGGTCTTCTCCTTACAACGGGAACTTTCTCAACAACGATTAACTTTTAACAAACGCCATATTTCAACAATGCCCTCGTCACAAGAGCAACATCCACCTCACAACGCCCACCCCCTTATGACGGCAACCTTTTCACAACGTTTCGATAACTTGAATGCGTCCAGACAGCTGATTCAAAAACCCGACTGACGGGGGTGTAACAAGATGTGTTTTCAAAGACAACAAAATTCTCTCCCCTTGGAGTCAATTTTTTTGGTCTATGTGGAGGATTAAAAATGCAGAAGTTGAGCACGGACTACAGATAAAATATGAAAAATACAGAATATTATGGCTAAAAATTATTACCCTTCTCGTTCTTCGATGCTTTCTCCAAGCTTTCTGTATTAATTTGACAGCCTTGTTCTGTCAAGAGAAAAGCCGTAATTATATTCTGATAAGTAATTATATACTGATGATAATTGTGAATCCATTTCCCTGATAAGGCTATGGAGTCGAAAGCAAACAAATAATGCCTTTTAGAAAGAATCTCATTTTGTTGGATCAGACTACAATTGAAATCGCCGAGAAAGTTTTAAAAATAATGAAACTTGCAGTTAAGCCGTACACCGACTACCTTCCTAGAAATGACCAACCCTGGAGAAGGGCCACCTCTCTACACAGAACACCTTCCCATGAACCGCCTCTTTCTTACAACAGCCACCCCCTTACAATGACACAGCAACTTAAGCGTCTTCCAACTGCAACGAGACTCTTCTTTCGTCAAGGCCCAATTTAGAAAAATATTTGATACTGAGAACCCTGTCGGCTTTACATCACTAAAGAATTGATAAAATTTCTACAATACTTAATTAAGGGATGACCAACCCTGCTATGAAATATAAATCATATTTCAACTTCTGTACCTTGCTGGTTCAGTCTCGATTAGGAAATTTTTCGCAAGCATCACTGTTTGTTTGTTTGTTTGTTTTGTTTAGTTTTTTCTAATCTATTTATTTTCATTGTGATTTAATAAGATGTCACCATAAGCACGTTTGAAGAGTTGTAAAGTTGAAGCCCAGTGTACATGGAGTGAAATATCTCACTCTCGGTTTGGATTTCCTTTAAAAAAGCGAATTCATTGTAAACTACTTGAAAGAAAATTTTTGACGTTAACTTTTGGATCCCCCTTCTCTTTTTATTTTAAAATAATCCCACCATTTTATATAATTAAATTCGCTCCATAAAATTAAATGATTGAATTTACCATGTATAACTGTGATCATGCTGTTATTACTATATCAAATTACCTGAAATTCAAGTCTTTTAAATTTTAGTCGACGCCAAGACCGTTGAATTATGGACGCACATTCATTCTGCAAAGAGAACAAACATTATGATATCAACAGTTAATATGAGCATCTAAAATATCCATGATTATCGCATCAAATTTCCAGTTTCATCCTCATAAGACTTCATATTCTGTTTATGTAGATATCAAAGGTCTATTTTTTTCCTGTGGAACCGCTGCGGCCAACGTTTTCTCCTTATAACGGGAACTTTCTCAACAACGATTAACTTTTAACAAACGCCATATTCCAACAATGCCCTCGTCTCAAGAGCAACATCCACCTCACAACGCCCACCCCCTTATGACGGCAACCTTTTCACAACGTTTCGGTAACTTGAATGCGTCCAGACAGCTGATTCAAAAACCCGACTGACGGGGGTGTAACAAGATGTGTTTTCAAAGACAACAAAATTCTCTCCCCTTGGAGTCCATCGTCTATGTGGACGGAGCACGGACTACAGATTTATCAAAATTTTCGTTGAATTTACCATGTACAACTGTGATCATGCTGTCATTACTATATCAAATTACGTGAGTGCGTCCAAACAGCCGACTCAAAAACCCGACTGATGGGGGGTGTAACAAGATGTGTTTTCAAAGGCAAAAAATTCTCTCCCCTTGCAGTCAATTTTCTTGGTCTATGTGGAGGATTAAAAATGTAGAAGTTGAACACGGACTACAGATAAAGGATGAAAAATATAGAAAATTATGGCTAAAAATTATTACCCTCCTCGTTCTTCGATGCTTTCTCCAAGCTCTCTGTATTAATTTGACAGCCTTGTTCTGTCAGGAGAAAAGCAGTAATTATATACTGATAAGTAATTATATGCTGATGATAATTGTGAATCCATTCCCCTGGTAAGGCCATGGAGTCGAAAGGGAACAAATAATGCCTTTTAGAAAGAATCTCATCTTGTTGGATCAGACTACAACTAAAATCGCCGAGAAAGTTAAATGATAAAACTTGCCATCTAACACTGTACCAACCGCTATTACTATCTCCTAGTACCCTGAGTTTGAGCTCTTCTTATTTTAATCTTTTCAATTTATGGCGGCAAATTTGCAGTATAAAAGTTCAATGAAGATGAAAAAGACGTGACGCCTTTTGAATCTTAACGGCACATTTATTCTGCAAAGTAAACAAAAAGTTTGACTGTGATCATACTGTTATTACTATAACAAACTACCTGAAATTCAAGTCTTCTTAACTTTAGTCGACGCCAAGCCCGTTGAATTATGGACGCGCATTCATTCTGCAAAGAGAACAAACATTATGATATCAACAGTTAATATGAGCATCTAAAATATCCATGATGATCGCATAAACTTCCAGTGTCATCATCTTAAAAACTTCATATTTCTGTTGATGTAGATATCAAAGGTCTGTTTTTTTCTATGGAACCGCTGCGGCCAACGTTTTGAAAATGGTCTTCTCCCCACAAGGGGAACTTCCTCAACAACAATTAACTTTTAACAAACGCCACATTCTAACAATGCCCTCGTCTCAAGAGCAACATCCACCTCACAACGCCCACCTCCTTATGACGGCAACCTTTTCACAACGTTTCGGCAACTTGAGTGCGTCCAAACAGCCGATTCAAAAACCCGACTGACGGGGGGTGTAACAAGATGTGTTTACAAAAAATTCTCTCCCCTTACAGTTAATATTTTTGGTCTATGTGGAGGATTAAAAATGTAGAAGTTGAACACGGACTACAGATAAAGGATGAGAAATACAGAATGTTATGGCTAAAAATTATTACCCTCCTCGTTCTTCGATGCTTTCTCCAAGCTCTCTGTATTAATTTGACGGCCTCAATCTGTCAGGAGGAAAACAGTAATTATAAACCGATAAGTAATTTTATACTGATGATAATTGTGAATCCATTTCCCTGATAAGGCCATGGAGTCGAAAGGGAACAAATAATGCCTTTTAGAAAGAATCTCATCTTGTTGGATCGGATTGCAACTAAAATCGCCGAGAAAGTTAAATAATGAAACTTGCAGTTAAGATTTAAAAGACGTGACGCCTTTTGAATCTAAACGGCACATTTATTCTGCAAAGTAAACAACAATTTTCATAATGTCAGCATAGAATATCAGCATCTTAAAGTCGTCACGCCATGTTGGAGTACATAATAGAGGTCTACTTTCTACGAAAAGTCTCTTCGGCAGTCATCCGCCTACAACGGTCACCTCCGTACACTGGCTGCCTTCCTAGAGATGACTACCTCCTCAGAAGGGCCACCTCTCTACACAGAACACCTTCCCATGAACCGCCTCTTTCTTACAACAGCCACCCCCTCAAAATGACACAGCAACTAAAGCGTGTCCCAACTGCAACGATACTCTTCTTTTGTCAAGGCCCAATTTAGAAAAATATTTGTAACTGGGAACCTTGTCGGCTTTATATCACTAAAGAGTGGATTTCTACAATACTTAATTAAGGGAGGCTATTATGATTTAACTGTTTGCTGGTTTAGTCTCGATTACGATGTTTTTAACAAGCATCACTGGTTGTTTGTTTGTTTGTTTGTTCGGTTGTTCGTTTAGTTTTTTCTAATCTATTTATTTTCATTGTGATTGTAATAAGATGTCACCATAAGCACGTTTGAAGAGTTGTAAAGTTGAAGCCCAGTGTACATGGAGTGAAATATCCCACTCTCGATTTGGATTTCCTTTAAAAAAGCGAATTCATTGTAAACTACTTGAAAGAAAATTTTTGATGTTAACTTTTGGAACCCCCTTCCCTTTTTATTTTAAAATAATCCCACCATTTTATACAACTGAAATCGCTCCATAAAATTAAATGATTGAATTTACCATGTATAACTGTGATTATACTGTTATTACTATATCAAATTACCTGAAGTTCAAGTCTTTTTAACTTTAGTCGACGCCAAGCCCGTTGAATTATGAACGCGCATTTATTCTGCAAAGAGAACAAACATTATGATATCAACAGTTAATATGAGCATCTAAAATATCCATGATCATCGCATAAACTTCCAGTTTCATCATCTTAAAAACTTCATATTCTGTTGATGTTGATATCAAAGGTCTATTTTTTTCTGTGGAACCGCTGCGGCCAACGTTTTGAAAATGGTCTTCCCCTTACAACGGGAACTTTCTCAACAACGATTAACTTTTAACAAACGCCACATTCCAACAATGCCCTCGTCTCAAGAACAACAACCACCTCACAACGCCCACCTCCTTATGACGGCAACCTTTTCACAACGTTTCGGTAACTTGAGTGCGTCCAAACAGCCGATTCAAAAACCCGATTGACGGGGGGTAACAAGATGTGTTTTCAAAGACAAAAAAATTCTCTCCCCTTACAGTCAATTTTTTTGGTCTATGTGGAGGATTAAAAATGTAGAAGTTGAACACGGACTACAGATAAAATATGAAAAATACAGAATATTATGGCTAAAAATTATTACCCTCCTCGTTCTTCGATGCTTTCTCCAAGCTCTCTGTATTAATTTGACGGCCTCAATCTGTCAGGAGGAAAGCACTAATTATAAACTGATAAGTAATTATATGCTGATGATAATTGTGAATCCATTTCCCTGATAAGGCCATGGAGTCGAAAGGGAACAAATAATGCCTTTTAGAAAGAATCTCATCTTGTTGGATCAGACTACAACTAAAATCGCCGAGAAAGTTTTAATAGTGAAACTTGCAGTTAAGATTTAAAAGACGTGACGCCTTTTGAATCTTAACGGCACATTAATTCTGCAAAGTAAACAACCATTTTGATAATGTCAGCATAAAATATCAGCGTCTTAAAGTCGTCACGCCATGTTGAATTACATAATAGAGGTCTACTTTCTACGAAAAGTCTCTTCTGCAGTCATCCGCCTACAACGGTCACCTCCGTACACCGGCTGCCTTCCTAGAAATGACCACCTCCTCAGAAGGTTCACCTCTGTACACAGGACACCTTCCCATGAACTGCCTCTTTCTTACAACAGCCACCCCCTCACAATGACATATTGCTGGTTCAGTCTCGGTTAGGATGTTTTTCACAAGCATCACGTTTGTTTGTTTGTTTGTTTTGTTTTGTTTTTTCTAATCTATTTATTTTCATTGTGATTGTAATAAGATGTCACCATAAGCACCTTTGAAGAGTTGGAAAGTTGAAGCCCAGTGTAAATGGAGTGAAATATTCCACTCTCGATTTGGATTTCCTTTAAGGCGATTTCGTTGTAAACATCTTGAAATAAATGTTTTAATGCTAACCTTTGGAACCCCCTTCCCTTTTTATTTTAAAATAATCCCATCATTTTATACAACTGAAATCGCTCCATAAAATGAAATGATCTAATTTACCATGTATAACTGTTATTATACTGTCATTACTATATCAAATTACCTGAAATTCAAGTCTTTTTGATATTAGTCGACGCCAAGCCCGTTGAATTATGGAGGCGCATTCATTCTGCAAAGAGGACAAATATTTTGATATTAATAGTTAATATCAGCATCCAAAATATCCATGATCATCGCATAAACTTCCAGTTTCATCATCTTAAAAACTTCATATTCTGTTGATGTTGATATCAACGGTCAATTTTTTTCTGTGGAACTGCTGCGGCCAACGTCTTGAAAACGGTTTTCTCCCTAGAACGGGAACTTTCTCAACAACGATTAACTTTTAACAAACGCCACATTCCAACAATGTCTTTCTCTCAAGAGTAACATCCACCTCACAACGCCCACCTCCTTATGACGGCAACCTTTTCACAACGTTTCGGTAACTTGAGTGTGTCCAAACAGCCGATTCAAAAACCCGACTGACGGAGGGTGTAACAAGATGTGTGAGAACTCGAGCAAATAGACAGTCCCTGACAGCTTTATTTCACTTAGAAGAAATTAAATTGAGAAATCTGAAGCAATTAATCAATATGTTACGCTGCTTGCTCAGTTTAGTTTAAAAGTTTTCTGTGAATATAAATTTTTGTTTTGCATGCTGCAATGCTGTAATGGAATTTCAAAAATGGAAAATATTCTCCAATAGCCCCTCAAAGAAAAGACAGAGACGGAAAATCATTCCCCCCTAATGGCTACCTTTATATCAATCCGCTACTTTCCACTTTCTACAAAGTAAAATTTAGAAAGTTACAAGTAAACTACATCTTAATTTCCTCAAGGAAGATATTCCATTTAAAAATGTTTAAAGTATATGACACTAGTTGACAAGTTAGCAGCTTTTCCCATCATGGTGTGATTCTTATCTTCTCTTGACTATTTTCATAGTTTATTTTCTTCTTTGAAAAATACAATTAAAGAAAATCTTTTTGCATTAGTACCTCTGAAATTGAATATGGCCCAAATAAATAGTTCTGATGAAACTTTTAAATTTTGTTTTGTTGGGGTTTGGAGTTTTCGATAATTATGCCGGGCCCGCTCTACGCAATTCAGTTGTTAGCATGTAATCCTTCCTCATCAGAAGCTTTAAAAAAAAAAAAATAATAATAATAATAGTAAGCAATCTGCTACGTTGACACGGCATTACAAAGAAATCAGAATACCTGTCTTTTCTGTTCTCCATCTTTCTTGCGGGATTCCTCTTCAAAACTGAAAAAAAGAAATGTTAGCGTCACAATGACGGCTACCAATAATACTTGGTTGCAACGCAAGTTTTGCAAAAATAAAGCCTTGTTCTTTCCATTTATTTAGTGCAAAGATGTTAAATACCTTAAGCCTGCCTCAAACACATAGTTTAAACTTAAACCCTTGAACATTCACATTAATGTCGAGTAGCTAGTGAAGCAATTTAATAGTTTGATAAAGCAAGCCGCACAATCGGTCTGTAAAAGTTTTCCGTTGTTTATTTACAAACTTAAAACTTTTATCGAAATTGAACTTAATGATTAAAGTCCTACCTTTCTTTGCATTCAGTTTCTGACCTCTGCCAAAAATAGTCCCTGAAACATGCGAATGTAAAAAAACTTATCCAAGACGTTACAAAAACCATCTTGGCCTTTGTAATATTTTCCCAAGTCTGATTTATGATCAGATTGCGTCATAATAGCAGCCTTTTCTTTTAAGCGCGCGCTAGAAACAGAAATTCATGAAGAATTACATTTAAAGTAATATTAACGCGAGAACCTCCCTAGTCAAATGTGTGTCTACTGACTTATAACCATGGAATATTCCGGTGAACTCCTGGAAATACAAAAACTAGTTTTGAGTGGAATTTTAGATCAAATATTCTCAACAGTTACCTCTTTCCCGATCACGATATTCATCGATTACAAAATTCTATGCCTTCTTTTTGTGAAATTCCGGCTTTTGGTACAATTTTGTTGATAGGGCATTGGAAATACAAAGAATATTCTCGGTTTCAACGATAAATATTTAATTGTTTTATAGGTTCATCTCAAAAAGAAGATTTATGATTCCTCAAAACATTTGATTTTAACTCCTGTTCTGCGAAGACGCCAACGGCCGTGAAGAAACCGTTTCATCATAATTTTTTTTTGAGATACAAAGCACTGTAGTTGGGAAATGTACCTAAACGACCCTTAACTAGCGAAACCTGAAGGGGACTAAACTATGAAGCTCCCTGCCCTCTCATCACAACAACAATACAAAAAAGTCCCAGAGTCTTTCAGTGTTTCGGGCCACATAATTTTTCGCTTTGACTTGTCAGGAAACGCAATTCGAGTAAAGAGAGTTAACTTGTATGAAAGTTTCCACGACAAAGGTTACGCGGGGTCGGAAAAAGAGCCTCGAAAGTCTTTGAGATGAATAATCACGAGTACGAGATTAACGCTTTATGGTCTTATTTAGTGTAAGGAAGTGAAATGCTGGCTGTCGATCTTCTGTCTTACTCTGTTTACCCAACCGTATACAAAATACTCCAATAACAGGCTATTAATAAGAATTGCATAATTCAACAGTTTCAAAGTTGCACTCGTGTCTGAGGTGTATCCAGTGCAAAAAGGTCTGTGAGGCGTTGCTTGCTTTAAAGTGGTCATACAGAGATTTTAATGCATATTAGACTTTTACTGTAACCAAATAAAGGGGAAAGTAGGAAAAGAAAGAGGAAGGAGGTAAAAGGGTTGGTTACAAAGCCGGGAGAAGGAGAAAAAGCCAAGACCTCCTATTACATAGAATTTGGCCCACATTGTACACAAGCAACATCAAGGCACCTCAATTGAATTTTCTTTACACCAAAACAGATGAGACGTTTCTATGCTTTCTATTCTTCCCACTTCTGACCTGTCTCTCTCTCTTCTACCTTAGCTGATAGAAAGAAGACAGACCCTGAGAACAAAGTTGGAAAGACTGTATTTATCGAAAACTGGCCAAGCCAGCAGTTCTCTATTATTTTATTCCACGCAATGAATGGAAATAAGAATCAGAAACCACTCTGGCTTAAATGGTCGAGGGTATTTTTACCTGATCCGAAGCATGAGATCATGACAATGAACTCTCTCTAACTTTCACTGTTGATTACTTTCATCGCCTTTCTGCAAGGGCTGATCACTACTTTTTGCTTTGGTACTGTGGCTGCAAGAAAAGCGTCCTCGGCCGCTTTTGGCTTCTACTCTTGCGAAGCCATTCTTGGACAACAGTTCCCACATCATCATGGAACATTTCGACCGCAAAGTAGGGTTTGCGTCTACGGTATCGTTTTTCTTGCTCGTCTATGGGCGGAGTAGGAGTCCTGGGTTTTCTTCCTGTTGAATTTCTTCTGTGAATCTTCTTTCGTACCGATTTTTTTGTATCTTCCCTCGGAATTTATGTCACCCGTTCCGCCGAAAGTTCGCATACCGGGCCTAATCCGTCCGGTCTTAATCCTTTCCCGGTACTTATGACGTATCCTTGCTCAGTGCTGCAGGGACCAGGAGAATTGATAACGGTCAGACTACGCGTTTCATCAAAAGGATGAAACCAAGTGAGTAGATGTTCTGTT